ACATATTGTGTTATCCCACTTATATAAAATGTCCAGAGAAGTAAATCTACAAAGTGGATTAATGTTAGCCTATGGTAGGAAGGGGGAATGACTGAAAATGGGCACAAAGAATCTTTATAGGGTGTTGAGAATGTTCCAGAATTGGATCATGGTAATGGTTTTACAACTCTGTATATTTAATGAAAATTATTGACTATTACAATTAATATGGGTGGATTTTATGGTATCTAATTTACATTCAACAAAGCTCTTAAAATATCTCCATGTGGGCTGTGGTATGTGTATGTACATGTACATGGGAACAGCCATCTGAATTTTTGAGGTCTGGGCCCTACTCATGGCCTGATGATCTAATTAGCTGTCAGTCCTAGATAGAATTACTTGATCATTCCAAGTCTCGGTTTCTTCATCTATAAACTGAAGGGGAAGGCTGTTTCCAGGGTTTCTTCCAAGTCTTCTAACATCACGTGCACTTGGATACTTTCATGTGAATTGTGGCTCATGGGTCAGGTAACTAAGGATTAGATGTTAGGCTTCAGAGAAACATGTTCCTCCCTGCTTTAGAGAGCAAGAGACTGTTAGGATGAGAGAACCTCATGGAGATTAATTAGGACTAGGTTACCTAACGGGCATCCTGTGAGTGAGAACACTGACAAATTAAATTGTTCAAGCCCAGCCAATTACTTAAGTAGCCCAACTGGGACGAGAATGCACTCACCTGGCCCAAGTCAGTGTCCTTGCTCAAGAGAAAACCAGTGACCCCTCCCAGGGAAAAGCTGTCCTTTTATATTCTTTACTAGTAGTTGGAGGGGAGGATGCTTGGAGGACGAGTAGGCAAGAAAGGACTCAAGTGCCTGTATGTGTAGGGTATATCTTCATGCAGGTGATAAGGGTCTGAGTCTGAGTATGGTGGGAAATGGGTTACTAAATACATATCCAGTATTTTCCTTGCACAACTGTAAACATACACTTCTCTTTTCTAACCGTCTTTTCCCACTTGTCTCCCTATCACTGAGCAAAATCACAATAAGCATCAGCTTCCAGGAAAACCCCTATTTATTATTCAACAGATATTTCATTCCTACAAAAGCCAAACAAAAAGTAATCATATAAAAGTCAAAGTATAATAAACTCCTTGTAAATTCATGGCCTGATTTCATGGGTCCCACCCTGTTTTGTTTCTGGCTGTGAGGATATGAATCCAGATTTATTTCTCTCTCCCCTTTCATCATTTATTGATTTCTTACTGCTTCTCACCCCCACGCTAGAGATCTCAGAGCATGAATTAGGGTGCCAATCTGTCTGCCACTTGCAGTCAGAAACATATGTGTTGTAAATTAAGTTCCCTGAATCTAGAAAATTTGGAAAGTTTATGTTTGACTATCAGGCTAATAAAAATCCTAATACTCATGACTAATGGTAAGAATAGCTGCCATTTACTAAACACTATGTGGCAAGCAGAATGTGAAACTCCTTTGTATTAAAGCATTACTTTTCAAAACAACCTTATTGGATAGGAACTGTTACCTCCATTTCTTGATGAAGCAACTGAAGCTCAGAGAAGTTAAAGAGAGTGTTCAGGGTCATATGAAATAATTAGGTAAGGCCTCCAAATCTGTGTGCAGAGCTGAGCTTTTAATGTAGCCATTGCACCACGCTTCCTCCGAATCCCATTTCCTCTGAACCCAGTTTCATCGATTGCTCAAATTCCTCTGACATACCACCTTCACATCCATCTTTAGTATGGCAAGAAACTCACTACCACTGGAGCACCCCATTCCTTATTTGGGTGATTTTCTGCAGCCTATATCCAATATTTTTCCTGGAACTTCTTCACAAGTCAAACCACATGAATGCCTTTCAAATTCAAAAAACAGAAAATTTCAACAAGCATCATGTCTCTTTGCCCCTTCAGCGCCCCACTCCCCACTGCCAAATAGTCCCCGTTCTTGAAGAGTCTTGGTGTGGCAGGGTTTTGCACCTCCCTTTGCCTGGTGCCTCTCCTTCGGACATGCCCAGGTTCTCACTACTCCCTCTTAAAATGTGGTGTGGAACCCACAGCACAGAAGGGAACAGTAGGTAGCATCATCTTCCTCTTTTTAGTTCCTATACTTCTTTTAATGCTGCCTATGCCTTGTTTAGTTTTTGGTGGTCACATGATTTGGTTAACGACTTTGAAAAATCCATTTTCCTCTCTACATGGTTCAAATAAAATAGATTTAGAAATCACAGCTGAGCACATAGTTCAGGCTTCAAGAAATACTTGTTAAATGACCTTATTCATTCATTTCATCTAATTTCAGATTAATTGATTGCCTCTATGTCTATTTCCACTAAGGCTTGCTGCTGATTTTATTCCTTGATCTCATATTCCAAATTTGGCCAAGGATTTTTGCTGGTCCTTTTAAAGAATGTGCTTCCCCTCAGAGGAAGAAGAAACAAACAGATGCTTCTTGTTATGAAGAGCCTGGCTGAGCCATGTGGCTGAGCTGAAGGGGACACATCCTCTGTGCTCATTCCTCTCCTGACTGATCACCAACTATGTAACTGACCACTGAAGATGTTGAACAACTCTGTCCGCTCCAAGTTTAGCCTTGATGTTGTTGAGCAGCAAAAATGTCTCTGTGTCAATGGCTAAAATTACCTTGTCAGGCTTTCTCTCCGCCCCTGGCCTGTGTTCTCCATCATTTGTTTACTTGTAGTGGGAAGAGATCATTTTCCAAAGTGGGCCAAAAGCAGATAGATTCAACTCTACCCCCTGTTGAGGCATAATACTTTTAAAAATCTGCCTGGGGACTCACATTAGTTCTGGATGCTATGCTTTCCTGTCACTTGGGTGGAGGGTTTGTCCCTAGCATAAATACTGATGGAGATATGAATTATTACTGCCTATCCGGTTTTTAACCAGTGCTTAAAGTTGAGTTCTAAAGCCCCACAAAGACTTAAAAAAGAAAAGCAACATGCTTGCCAATTTCTGTGATTCTTGAAGCAGTAGGGTCCTTGCTGCTGCCCTTAAGTTGTAGGACCATTCCCCCAGGCAGGCCCCTGTCCTGCAATTCTACCTGAAAGCAACTTAATCTGTGTTTGAGGTTGTTGCCTTCTTCCCAACCATTGGTGCAGAAGGCGGTTCAGTGACTTGAAATCTGAGCGGGGCCTGGCGTGCCTGATTTTTAACATATGTCTAAAGCATGTATTTAGCTGTCATGGAAAGATCTGACAGTTTATGGGAGAGGTGCTGTGTACAAAGGACCAGCAGTGGGCATTTCCAGCACACACCCACTTGGAGCATGCTGTGATCTGAGCTTCTCCTTTCCCCAGAGCCAAACCAACCACTGTCATTAAAAAGAAAAAAAAAGAAAAACCATTTACAAGGCACTAGAAAAAGTCATGACTATAATTTTATTTTGGGGACGTACTGCAAGGACATTGATGCAGGTAGGAACAAGTAACCATAAACAAGTGTGCTCATGAAAAGTTAAGCTTTTCTTTCTTGGATTAAAATAGTATAGGGAATGTTTGATTCTAGCCATTGCTAGCCATCGTAGAACTGACTGAATTTCTTAGCCCTGTGATTTTTCATTTATTGAGCTGCATCTAGGCTTGCCTCCTGAAATACTTCCTCCTGCCCTCACTGAACACAAGCATCCTTTAAACACAGGGCATTTCACTTTATTATCTGATTCAGTCTTTGCAAATATTCTGCAAAGTAGGCATTATTAGCCTCTTTTACAGATGGGAAAAATGAAGCTCAAAGAGGATAATGCTCTGCTCCTAAACCACACAGCTAGTGAGCAGGAGAGTTGACACAGTGGCAAAGCATCTGATAGAGTCTGTGGTCTTCATCTCTAAAGCCCATGTTCTTAACCACTATCCCCTACTGCTTCCACTGGGCCTTCTTAGCCCTTTGCCTATCCCTGTTCCCCCCTACCCCCACCCCCTGCCATCCACATTATGTGTTAGGGCTGTCCCAAATCACCTATTGTTACTGCCAGGGAAATGAATTGTCAAGCTCAAAAAAAATACCTTACCATTTTCTCTGACAAAGGACAGGCCCTACCAGGGGAGGGATGCTCACCCAGTCTCACCGGCCATCATCATGCCAGGACCTACCCAGCCTTCAGAGGACTCCAGCCCCAATTTGCCATCTGACCACAACTGCATAGAGAGACCTCAAGTGAGGACTGCCCATCTGAGCCCATCAACCCCCAGAACCATGAGAAAGAAACTAAATTGTTGTTTAAAGCCACAAAGTACTGGGAAGTTTGTTATATAACACAAGACAACCAGAATTCTACAATTAGTGGTTTAATATTCTTTCTAATTTACTCAGTCTCTCATAGTACCTAGCAGCTAATGCAAAAATAGCTCCAACCTCCTGTACACACACACAAAAAAAAAAAAAAAACTCAAAAAGGTTCCAAACCCTCAGAGGACCACTAGACACTCAATTAAATTTTGTTGTCGTTAAAGGGCAGTGAGTAGAGTTTTGAAAAAATTCATTATCAACCTTTTACTCCGATGTTGTCATAATGTAACAAAACAAGTGCTGTCTGGGAAGGGAAGGGGAGAGAGGATTGTCAAAGCTTCATTACATTTATGTAGTTCATTACATGACATTTATACTTCTGACATATCCAACGTGCCTTTGAATTTGATTTTCCAAATGATTTACTGGGACTGCTAAAGAATATTTCACATTATGAAGGAAAGCAGGGTGTAAATTCTCAGAATGACCAGATGGGTCAACAGCAGAGAAAAATGAGAGTGGAAATCATATTTTACAGATGTAGATGTTTCCTATATGTGCAAATACTTTTTATGTGCCAGGGGCTATCAATGAATCATCTCATTTGATTCTCAAACATCTAAGGGAATTGTACTTCTCTCCATTTTAGAGATGGGAAAACTGATGCAGAAAAGTTATAATTTGAAGGTAGCTGGAGGAGCCAATATTTGAACCTCAGTCTGATTCCGATGTTTGTTCTCTTTTCACTTTTTAGAGTCAAAATCCCACAGCCAGCCAAGGAGGCTTCACTATGGATGTCAAAGCAATGTGAATGGAATCTTCACTGCCTCCCTCTGCCCTATTCTTTGACTTCTCTCCAGGAGTATATGGCCATCATTGAACCAAATGTGTGCCTCATGGGTAAGAGCTGGTGCTACATGCGGTTGCCTTTGTATCCAGGTCTAGGATGCCATGTCCTGCCCTGGGGGAGACAGCTGCCTGTTAGTCTTGGTGCCCCCTGGGTGGACACCACTCAGGCTCACATCTCTTGTTTGATCATTCAGAGCAGAGTCCTAGATGGCCTTGCCTCTTCATTCACAGAGAAAATAGAGGCTTTTGCATGGGGACCCTGGTCTTTCTGGTGCCACTAATCTCCATCCCCTCCCACCCCACCACCCACTTACTCATCTTAGCAGAAAAGTCCCCATCGCAGCTTAGATGTAGTCATATACCTCTCCTTATTTATTTCTCCATACCTAGACTAGAATTTCTCACAAATCCCCCTTTTCCTCTAATAGTGACACATACTTCTTTTGCTACTTCAAAATAACTCAGTCATTGTTTTAAATATGGTCAATCTCAAATTTAATTATTTCGATTCAATCTAACTTCCTGGTGGCTTTCCCTGCCCAGGGGAGATGCTCTTGTCCTTGTGTTGTCCTTTGTTCTTCACTGAGTGTTGCTCTGCTGTCCTGTGTCCCCAGGCCATGGCCTTGACCTCAGTGCTTTCTGCGACTTTTCCTAAAGCCTGTGTGGTTGGTGGTGCGTGGATCTCCCCTTGGGCCCCACTCCACCCTGCAGCCTAGCCCCACCTTGGCTTGGTGAGTTAGTGACCCTGACACTCAACACTGTCCTCATTCAGTCCTCATGATTGTCACCTCTCCCTGAGCATCCTGATACTTTGGCTGGCATGGTGCTTCCTTCTCCTGTGGAAAATGCAGTGATCATTAGTGTTGCTCACCAAATATCTCTGAATTATGCCTTCTGGGCCTTTTATGGGTGGCTGGGACCATGTGATTCATTTGGCCAATTAGCAAAAATGAAATGATTCAAGGTAAATGTCTCATTGTCTGGGCAAGAGCACCTCAAATCCTCTTTCGTCTGCCAGAACAACTATCTGTATCCAAAAATGCCATTGCTCCATCACCCTGGGTCCCTGAGTCTCCAAGATGGGCAGACTCCCTGCCAACTAGTGATGGTCATGTAGGCCATACAAAAAAATAATAATTTGTCAAGTTTGTTGGACTTCAGAGCAATTTGTTATAAGAATTTTTTTGCACATTTTTATCCATGCCTCACTGGAGGTCATGAATACATTTAGGGTGAGGAGAAAAGAGCCATTTCAGGCTTTCTCAGCCTAGTATACCACTGGAGATGCCATATTCTCTCTACTCCAGCTGCCCTGTGGTGCCTGAGGCCCTCTGTGAAGTACTTCACCTCCCTAAGCCTACATGGGCATTTCCCACTCTGTTTCCATCCCTCACCTGGTGCTGACCTTCAGGAGTGATGTGCAGAGTAGGCCCACCTGCAGGCTTCACTCCCTTAATCCTCCCTAAGGCTTCCTCTTAGCCAAGGAAGGGTCTTCCCCTGCTTCCTGTGTGATAGGAAAAGTTACTCTGACATCATATCCTGCTTCCTTCCTCAGGCTTCCTCCTGCCACTGCATGGCTGACTGATTTTATAGGCTTATGCTTGCATCTTCCAGCCCAGGCTTTTTCCTTTCAACAAGCCCTGGTCCTTACAAATCAAAACACAGCCTTCAGGCTTACCTTAGCCAAGGATTTGAGGTGCTCTATTTTGAAACTGAAAGCTGAGTTTTTCCACTGAGGACAGTGAGTGTCAAAAGCCATCTCTGCTGCCTGGCAAGTAAAGGAAGAGAAATAGAAAAGACATTTAAAAAATAAACCATTACTCAGCGTTGCAACCTCCTGCCCATCACACACCCACACCTGCTCCTGTCTTCTCCCCTTTTGGCAGAGCTCTGGTCCCATGCCTGCAGTCTCTCCCTCTTCACTGCTTCTGTGCCCTCAACATTCCATTATTATGTTTTCCCTGTTAAAATAATTAAACAAGGAGGCCAATTAGACTGAGGTGCTTCTAATGCGTTAGCATCCTACATAAACAAACCAACACCTTTGCCTGTAGTGCCTCAAGGTTAAGAAGTCAAATCCTAAGGACAGCCACACACGAAGAGCCAGCGAGGCTTTCTGAAGTAAGGCAACTGCTTATGCTACAGCCAATCAGATAATTTCCCTGCTTTGCTTCTGTGCCCTCCCCAGGGAAGTCATGCCCCAGCTCCTGTCAGTGGAGCACTCCTAAGCACTTCCAGTCTGCTGCTTCCCAATGTGAACAGATTTTTGCTCAAATAAACTCTTAAAGTTTTTAATATGCCTCATTTTACCTTTGAACATCTCTCTCAAAACAAACTTACTCAGCAAAATTCCCTGCCTAATTGTATGTCCATGTCTCTCTCTGTCCCTGGGGAATGTCTTGAAAGAGGGGCATACTCGCCATCCACGACCCCCAAGTCCTTGCATTTTGGCATCAGAATCCGGGGGCTATGTTCCGCCTCGTCTCTCTTGGCCTCGGAGGATTTGCTCTCATTACCTGCTGGCCTCCTAAAGCTCTCTGCTCTCCTGGCCTAGTGCTCCTGACTTTCCTTCCCCTTCTCTGGCCATTTCTCAGCTCCCTACGGTGCTCCTCCACCCTGACCTGCTTTTGTGGGGGCTGCTGCCTGGTTCTGTCTGTGGCTCTCTTTCTACTTCATCCTCCCCCGAGGACTTAGAGGCCCCTTTGCACTGCCGTGCAGCTCTTTAGAAGTCCTTTGCTCTGCTCCTCTGGGACTTGGCCCTGAGAACCCATGCCTCCTCAGCCCTGGATGAAAGCAGAGTGCAGGGCAGGCACTCCTCGTCCGGGAAGTGCCACACCTCCTGTCACTCTTCGGTGACAGTGGGGGCTGCTGGCATGGGTTTGAGGTGCTCTGGGAGGCCTCCTTTGACCCTAAGCACACCTCTGATCCTGTCTTTTCCATCCCAGTTTCTTGCAGGACTAAATGTAGAGTCTCTCTCGTCCACTCCCTGATGGTAACAGTCCTGCTGTTGCCAGAACTCAAGAGTTCTCCAGCCCAACACACACAGGATGTTCTGCTCTGAGGTCTCAAGCATTTCTTTCAAACAGAGACATATAAAACTTCCCTGGGCATGGGGGTTGGGGCAGAATATTACCTCAGTTAGGCCTTATCCCAGAACACAGCACTGCCTTCAGCAGAGGCTGGCATGGCTGATGACAACCTCTGTGTAGGGAAGGGAGTCTTCCTGACAGCACCAGCTCTAGCCTCAGAACCTTTGCACTGGCAGTTCCCTCTGTTGGGAATACCCTTTCCCTTCCTTTCTCCACTTTCTGCAGGTGTCTGCTCAAGGTTCACCTTCTCTGACCACTCTGTGTTACCCAGCAGCTCTCCACCACTCTCCATCCTCTTACCTGCTGACTCCACCCCCTGCCCCTGCCTTTTTTTCTTAGTAATTATCACCATCTGGCACATTTTAATCTATTTGTCTATTGCCCTCTCTCTATAGGAATGTAACCTCCCCCAGAGCAGAGATTTCATAGCCTTGTTAGGGACCATTTCTCTAGTGTCCAAGAGAGGGGAAACACATGTTTGTTAAATGCATGAAGGAAGGAGGGCCTGAGTGAATCATGATATCTCTTCCCAGGTAATTTGGAACTGTACATTTTCAACTGTCCTAGATAAACCAAGCCACAAATTTAGGATTAACCCTCAGCTCTATCCTCTCCCCAACGTTCGTTATTATTCCGTTCTACTTGTTGTATATCTCTGTGTGTAACCCCCACATCTCCACCCTTATTTCCAAATCCATATCATTTTTTATCAAGTTGCAGCCACAGCCTCAGGCCTGTTCTCTTTGACTTTGTTTCCTTACAATCCGAACCGGCCTTCCTACTGTGGGCAGAGGGTGTGGCACACACAGAGCAGCAAATGGCACTCCTGAGAGTAAAAGACATCAAAACCTTCTCATTCCTTCCAGGGTAAACCCACCTCCTTTCACACAGCACACCTAGCTCTGGGGATCTGGTTGACACTTAACTTTGTAGTGTATCTCCGGCAGTTTTCCCCTGAACTTGTGCTCTACCCCCGGCTCCTCAATTCTCCACACCCAGCCAACCCCCTTCACCTGGTTCACTAACCAGGACTTTCCAGACAGAGGACAGTGTGGATTGGGAGGGGCCGTTCTGAGCAGAGAGTCTTTACAGACTCCATAGCACACCCACCAACAAGCACCACCCAGCCCTGGCTTCCTTCTACCTCACTTCCCGCTCTGTGTTCAAAGAGGGCCCTGTGCTTCCCCTTGCCAGCTGTGGCATTATAACATTTCATTTTAGTTGTCTGCTTATTGCTCTTTCTCACCCATCAGACCAAGTTCCTACAGTCATGGTCTTTTTTTGTATCATTTGTACACTCAGTCTCAAAGGGAGACCTGTATATGGTGGGCAAAGATGATCCATGAATATAATTTTAATGAACACATTTATTTTATTTATATAAACTGAAAGGAAAATACAGTAATCTTTTAAAAAGAAAAAAAAGTTACTTAAAAATTACCCTTCTTCCTAATAAAACAATTTCAAAATTTTCATATCTCTGGTATATCAAATTTAACATACCAGAGTTAGCAGTATTACTGAAGGTATTATTTTGTATTTTTGTACATAATTGCCTTTAAAAGGGAATACAGGAAATATAACTCATCATTCTGAAAGAAATCATCAACATAATTGCACAGGCATTTAATTTTTGGACTTTGAAGACTGCGGTGTGCTTAGCGTGTTCCTGGTGCAGGTGTGCAGCCAACAGGGCAGCCCTTTCTGTGGGCCACCTTCCCAGCACCCCTTCTCCTGCCCCAGGGTTGACAGCACTTAGGAACGGAAGTGGTTGTACAGTCTCCAGGGTCTGTTTAATCTTTGGTCTAGTTATTGAATTTGCCAAAAAGGAGGCCAATTAGTTCCAGGTGTGATGCTGGGGTCTCTGATGTGGAACTTCCCTGCTGGGAAGTTGGCTCACACCTGCCTACAAATGGCCCCAGCATCATTACCAAGCCTTTCTCTTGCCTATGGGCTAGGAAG